GTACTTTTTTTCAATAATTCATGTATAGATATTTAATGAAAGATGTATAACCTATTGATTGATACTTTATATTACAAGGTTGCCAAAAGATCCCCTGACGAAGCTTGAAAGAGCGAAACTCGTTGGGATAACTACCCATTACTCTTTGCCCTGGACATATGTGCTTTCATCTATATCTGAATACCTATGTTTAGCAAGTATATGCTATCTTAGACATGTGTTTATTGTGCATAGTTCTATTTTCAATAAGGGCTTTAGGTGGTTTCTTATTAGGCAATTGTCTATCACATCGTTATGTGTTAGTCCTCTGTGTTAATCATACATGTGGTAATCAGTAGATTTGTGCTTTTTTGTAACTGTGTTTTTCCTACCTACATATGGATCATGTTTTTGATCCTACTCTGTGTAATAAAATTATATTTTAGCTCAATTAATCATTATTTTTGCCTCGCTTGATAACCCATTTTTTTTTTGCCTTTCCTTATTGAAGGGGGTTGAGGCCTTTCTTTCTTTCGTTTTGAGAGCGCTTGTTGGGTCTGCTGTTGGGGTAGTATATCAGTCTTTTATCAACAGGAAGAAATGGGAACGGCTTCCACGTCCAGGAATTCGAACAGAGCAGGCAGCTGATCAGGGGTATGGAGCGTGAAGATGGAGTCACCTCTGCTAGGGTATGGCGAGATAGATCTAGCATCACCATCACCTGGGCGCCATCGAACTCCATGGGCCCCATGGCCCAAGCCCGCCGCAATATTCCCTCTTTGACAGAGAAAAAATGGACGCGGCAAAGAACATCACGTGTAGCATTAGCGGATGGGCCCGAAGTCCCTGCACTCGATGAACCCGGTTCAGTTCCAAAGCCTCTCCGGGTGGCTTGCCCAGGTAATGATTTAGAATAGCCAGGACCGTGGACTGAAGGTCAGGGCCTGTAGTGGCTTCAGGGATACCTTTGAGGCGAAGATTATTCTGCCGGCTGTGATTCTCACTGTCGTCCAGCTGAATGTAGTTAGCCACCATCTGTTGGTGTAGTCTGGTAGTGGAGGATTCCAGGGTGGCCACGAGGTCCAAGGGAGGAGGCAACCGTCTCTACTACCTCGACTCCACCTTCCACCGAGGCAACTCGATTCCTGATTTTCTGCACCTCCTGGCGCAGGGCTTGGACTATTTTGCCAGCCATGGAGTCAAGGTCCTGTTTAGTGGAGAGATGCGGCAGGATGGAGTGGCAGTCGCTGACCGACCGTTCAGGGGCATCCGGCTGTGAAAGGTAGGGTGGCAGTTCAGGGGAAATGTCCCCACATGGAAGCATCGGGGTTGGGATCGGAGAAGGTGGCAGGCTCAGTGTGAGCAACGACTGGTCTAGGGGCGCTGGCGCCTGTCTTCCGTAGCATGTGTTGGAACAGGGTCTGAAGTGGTGGTATTAGTAGGCCCCATGCTGCAGGCGGCATGGAAGCTACGCGCTGAGCCCGAGCAGAGAAAATGTGGAAAAGATCGGGTTGTCTGCCCTCACCAGATGTCCGCAGGGTATCACGGTCCTTCAACATGCAGGGAGAGGGTAAGTTAAAGTCACTGAAACCACTGCATAGGCCTAAAGGGTGCAGAGCTCCTCAAATTTGCGTCTTCGTGCCGCCATGTCCAAGCCACGCCCTCGGGCAATGGAGTCTTTTACCCCATATGTTGTCCATTGTCTTAGCTGCCTGTGTGGCCCCTGCTATGTTGGCAGGACGAAGGGGATCACTTTGGCGATCATAGACAAGTAGAGAAAGGTTTATCCAAATACAGCTTCTCCCATTATTTTGCCTCATGTCACAACAACGATTACAGTAAACTAACTCTGTTTGCCATACAGTGTATTCCTGCTTGTTAATCAGAACGTGAAAGATATATATTAAAAAAAAATGTGCCTTTAGGAAACATTCTGGATTTTCCAGTTGGACAAGGAACTGGATGTGCATGAGATCATTTGAATTTCAATTAATTATGTTAGAGATATATATATATTATTTTATTGATACTTTATTGATAATTGTATTCTCATTTGTAATTATTTTTTCATATGTATCATTTTTACATTGATTTTTTTTATTTTTCAAAGAGTTGAATGTATACAGTATATATGCATTTACACAGTTTTTCCTCTGAACCAAGATATTAGTGGTTTAGTGGAAACAATATTTCCCATCTTTCAGTCCTATTCCAGGACCTATTATTTTAATTCCAGAGGTAGTCCCATGGGAAGGCTGACAAAGGGGAAGTCGTCCCCGAAACTCATTCTTGTGCCTATGCAAATATCGATAGGTCCTGGAATAGGACTGAAAGATGGGAAATATACGATAAAATTGCAATTCTTAGTCTCCATCCACAATGACGTTACTATTAACGTCATTGTGGGTGGAGACTAAGTATTTCAATGTTATCGTTTGTCTCTTTAAAAAAATTATATTTGAACTTACTGCACTATATGAACTCTTTTGCAGTGTTTTTCCTCTTTACCTTTTCCTAGTTGTTAGTATTTGGAGCCCCCAATCTTCTCCCATTGGATTGCCTGGATTGGACTGCTCACGTTATGCTATTTATGCAGGAATTTTATGTCTGGGTATTTGGGTCTACCACTTTTAACATTATATTATACTTTGTATATAATTTGAGTATATTTTGTTTTGTATTTATTTTTAGTAATTGCAGCTCCTTAGGCTTGATTGGGCACTTGCTAAATTTATATATTTTTACTTTGCAGGGTGAAATAGGACTTTATTTCTTGGGCGCAAGGCTTCAATCATTGTTTATTTCAGTGTTAGAGATACATCACTGTCAGAGCAATTTTTCAAGTGCCACTGCTCTTTTTTCAAGATCAACGGTAACATACCATTGTTAATAGCTTATTTTTCAAGTGTTAATAGCTTATTTTGATCAATTATCAAAATGGAAAGTAAATGAACAGAAGAGAAATCGAAATCAAAATCAAATCAACATTTGGCGTGACCGCCCTTTGTCTTCAAAACAGCATCAATTCTTCTAGGTACACCTGCACACAGTTTGTGAAGGAACTCGGCAGGTAGGTTGTTCCAAACATCTTGGAGAACTAACCACAGATCTTCTGTTGATGTAGGCTGCCTCAAATCCTTCTGTCTCCATGTAATCCCAGACAGACTCAATGATGTTGAGATTAGGGCTCTGTGGGGGTGAAACCATCACTTCCAGGACTCCTGGTTCTTCTTCGTACTGAAGATAGTTCTTAATGACATTAGCTGTATGTTTGGGGTCGTTGTCCTGCTGCAGAATAAGTTTGGAGCCAATCACACGCCTCCCTGAAGGTATGGAATGATGGATAGGTATCTGTTTCTATTTCTCAGCATTGAGGACACCATTGATCCTGACCAAATCTCCAAATCCATTTGCAGAAATGCAGCCCCAGGCTTGCAAGAAACCTCTACTATGCTTCACAGTTGGCTGCACACTCTCGATATTGTACTGCTCTCCAGCCCTTCGGTGAACCAACTGCCTCCTGCTACAGCCAATTATTTCACATTTTGACTCATCAGTCCAGAGCACCTGCTGCCATTTTTCTGCACCCCAGTTCCTATGTGTTCGTGCATAGTTGAGTCGCTTAGCCCTGTTTCCATGTCGGTGGTAGGGCTTTTTGGCCATAATTCTTTCATGAAGATCACTTCTGGCCAGACTTCTCTGGAAAGTAGATGGGTGTACCTGGGTCCCACTTGTTTCTGCCAGTTTGGTGCGTACAGCATTGATGGACATCTCCCGATGTCAAAGGGAAGTAAGCATGATGTGTCTTTCATCCTCTGCATTAAGTTTCTTTGGCAGACCACTGCGTCTACAGTCCTCAACAATGCACGTTTCTTTGTGCTTCTTCAAAAGAGCTTTAACAGCACATCTTGAAACCCCATTCTGCTTTGAAATCTTTGCCTGGGAGAGACCTTGCTGATACAGTATAACTACCCTGTTTCTTGTTGCTGTGCTTAGTCTTGCCATTTTGTATGACCTGTGACATGAAACGGTCTTCCACAACCTCAAATTAGTAGCAGAGTTTGGCTATTCTTCACCCAGTTTTAAGCCTCATACACAGCTATTTCTGTTTCAGTTACTGACCATGTTGCAACCTACATATGAAATTGATGATCATTATCACCTGCTTGATATAATTGGTTAATCATACACGTGACTCTAATCCTACAAAATCCCTGACTTTGTGCAAGTGTAAGAATTGATGCTGGTTTGAAGCCAAAGGGCAGTCACACCAAATATAAGTTTGATTAAGATTTTTCTTCTGTTTACTCACTTTGCATTTCGGAAATTGCTAAAATCAAATAATAACATATATTTTTGAAAGCTTTCTTACTTTATAGCATTTTTTTAAAAACCTGCCTAAAACTTTTGCACAGTACTGTATATACTATATCTATATATATATCTATATCTATAT